TACTTAATGAATCCATTTAAACTTTGTGTTCTTGTTGATATTCATAGTCTTCCTTTGTTTCTATTGTAGATCAATTTATCTAAGAATGTTTTGAAACTCTTTGACGATAAGGGTGTGGATGTCGAGCAGATGTCGTTTTTTGGGTAAAAACAACATCCCCACTCACGCCCAACTAATTTTAGTTCTTCATTGATTTGAATAAATCCGAGAAAGAGAAGACATCGAAAAATAAAAGGAGTAAAATTCTACATAGGCCATCTACTATCTTCTTGACATATTTCTTTCTATTATATACCTGAAAATTATGGAGAGCTTCATTTGAGAATTTATGGATGGCAACGATAGACAAGTTTCTGTTTAAAAATGTTCTGTTTTCAATATTTTATATTTCAATTTTCTGTGTGCTAATGTAAGAGATCGACGTTATTTTTATTTTCGACTTCATCTGTTTCTCTTCTACGTACAAAACCATTAAAATAATTTATCCTTGGGATTTCATTGTAGAGAAAAGTTAATTAAAATATACATATTGTTGATTCATCTCTTAAAATTTCAACCATGTTACATCCAATGCAGCTCTACTGTTGCTTAATTGTTGGTGTTTTAATTATTAAATCTGATAATACTCCGACACTGCCACCGAATACAATTCAAATTCCTCTAAAGTCAACCGATAGCGGTTTAGTGCAATCTCAAAATTATTATACGAAAATGCAGCAGCCACGAAGTTACACAATTCACGGTGCATCAAGCACATTTGTTAAAGTACCTGGTCTAACGATACCATTCTATCATACAGAACCACTGCTGTATAAAATTCGACTTGAGGGCAAAGCTTACTCATCTCATTCACGAGGAGTTTGGATGTTTGCACGTTTGATGATCGATGACTACCTACTCTATGTTAACAAACTCGTACCCAATACAGCTGATCGATATAAATACGACAATCAATGTGGAGACCTGGATTGTTTTGAGTATCGCGGTGGTTTTTACTGGTATGCAACTTCGCCGACATGGACAACAGTTGTATTCAATGATATCATTTATTTAACTCCTGGTTTACATGTATTTGATGTTGGTGTTCGAGGCGGTCCTGATTATAATCCTAGTATCGGTATGTATCCTATATATATTCATACTTGGGTTTTAACTATGGAAGTTATCCAATTCGATCGTCAAGCAAACATCGGAATGACACCTGTGAATGTTAGCATGAACAGCTCCGATGGGTAACCAATGACTGGGTGTCTGGACAGAAATATCAGTCTTCAACCGAAAAAACTTATGGAAAATTATCATTTTAATTTCCTCAAATAAAATAAAATTCAGCCTTTTTAATTCCGATACAAAGTTTCACTGAAATAGTTGCGGGTGTGAGTCTTCTCTTTATTCAGAGCAACACTTCACACTCACTCATCCAAACCTCGTTCCCACACCCACACATACAACTACTTGCTCACACCAACATCTAACACTAAACCTGTAATGGTTCACAGTTCTAAGAACTAAGTCTAGTGGCTGTTTCTTTTCTCAAATGTACTTGTTCCATTAATAATGGTGATCTAACGATTCTACTCAATCGTTTCTCTAGTTCTCAAAAAAAGGACTGGTTACCACAACCAACTCTTAAAAAGACGTATTCACCATACTCAGTTCAGTTATTTGATGGGGAACTAACACACGTCTACTTCATACCCGCACCCTCAAATACTTTTTTCTATTTTACGGAGTACCGTCACGGTGCTTAATTTTTTTCCAGTTGAGTACAAAAAAGCGCACTTTTTCAAAACTAAAAGTGCCCCAATGAATTTATTGAGCTCAGAGTATCACGCTATCACTATGTCCCAGAAATCTGTG